ATACATATACATACATACATACATACATACATACATACATACATACATACATACATATATATATATATATATATATATATATTGGATTGATGATATGAGAGTTTGTGTAAACTGCAAGTGGGAACTATTGTGAGAAAGCACAAAGCTTTGTAACCAATCGACATACTGTATGTAACTGGAAGATGATTTTTATGTATTGTGTGTGTCTATGTCTGTTTGTTTTATGCTTGTTTAAAAATATTTTTTTAAAAAAAGAAAAGGTCAAACCTGTTCTCTTTCATTTCTGAGAAATCAGAGAATAAAAATAGTAAATTACAGAAATATAGATTATAACGGAATGTTAAAGGTAAAAAAAATCCTAATAGTACAAGTAGCTTGACAACGGAACTAATTCCGTGAGTTTAAGTACCCAAAGAAGGTTCCCTTCATTCAATCTATTCAAATAGTAGCTGAATACCTACATGATTTTGATGTTATTATTTGATTTTCTGCACGGGGGAGGGGGGCTTAGCTCAATGGCCTTTTATGATTCATAATAGGTTATGACTTTAAAACACTGTGAAAGAACAACTCCTGATTAGTACATAGGAAAGTCTGTATAGGATACGTTCCAAAAAGTCAAGATACTTGCTATGCGTGTTCAACTGAAGCCCTTCACATCTTTATATATGTTGTATATGTGCTGCTAAAACAGCAGCTTAGATCATGCAATCATAGTTATTGTAACTTTTGTTTATGCCACCCTATCAAGATTGGAAGATGTTGAGAGACTTGGGCCATAGCATCGCCAAGAGTCAGAATGGATAATATCATCATCTCAACACCACTACCACCACTACACATTGATACCTGTACTATTTATAGGATACTCTGAAGTTCTAGTACAAATGTTGCCTTAGTGAACTGTCATATTATACTTACTTTCTCAATACAAATTGTAACTTCAGGATAGTTACTGCTACCATACCAAAGGGATATCTCTATTTTTAGAGAAATCTATCCTCCCCATGGATATTCAATAATTAAGGCAAATTCAAACCTCTTTGGCAGGTTAAGCAATCATTCAATTTCAATTCCCTGAAAGATTTATCCATGACCTATTGGTGGTAGATTTAAAGGCCACCAAAAGAACTAGAAATTCAGAGATCCAAGCTAGGAAGCGTAATTCCATTACAGAATCCCTGGCAGCTCCCTGAAATCTTCAGAACTGGCTTTGCTGTCAGAACTCCAGCAATAGCAACAAGGAGAAAATGTTGTTGAGCCAGAGGAACTAATATCCAATCTGTTTTGAAATCTGAAGGAAAAAACTTTCTCAATGATTTCAATGTATAAAAATATTCAGGGGTACCTAACAAATTTGTTTGTCAAACAAACAAATGAACGGTTGTTGTATGCATGCCCTTTAAGAAGAAAATTCTTCAAGAAAGAATTTCTTCCGCACTTCCGTGGTTTTGTATCTCAAGATGTGGAAATTGTTTGACTTCCTCAATACTACTATTAAGGAAACCTAAACAGCTAGGCATTTTATTTTAATTTTTGTACTTCCTTCTTAGTGCCTATGATTTATTAGAATACTGTAATATTTTATATTGGACAAATATTACAGATTTAACAAATTATGTACCTATAAAATATAAATATATTATAAAATATAAATATATAAAAATTATTTAAGGGGAACAAATGCTGGACAGATAGTAGAAACACACGTGTGTGTGCATGTGTGTATTTGCGTGTGTATCCACTATTAACCTTACCACATATACTTCAAAATAAATTGCTGATCATTTGATTACTGTATTTAAAAATGTATGTTTGATAAATCTGTCTGCTCTATAGTCTTATTTTATAGATTTTTTTAAAAAAGGAATTCAGCATGATTGAAATACATAAACATTGATAGAGTAAGCTGGCATGAATGGGATCCCTAAGATTTTTAATTATCTTTTGCGTCAAGAATATACAAAAAATTCAAGAATTTTTTTCTTATTTGCACCAATGTGTATGAAACATTTTTTTGATTTGATTTAATTATATTTTAATGTAATAGAACAGTAGCCAAAATTTTAATAGTAATGACAACTTTTTCTCTGAAAACATAGTGTAGCGTATTAAATTTATATAGTGTACCTCGCCAATGATGTCAGTTTGAGAACAAGCATCACAATATATTTGAGATAGATTGGCATCATTGAATGAATCAGAACTGTGCTGAAGATCATGAAAAGATTCTGTAATACAACAACTATTTCTGAATCCATCTGTCAGCTTGGCCAGACTCTTTAAAAAAAAGGAACATTAAGAACAGAATTATATGAAAGAACTTTCTCATGATTTGATAGTTTTTTTTAAAGATAACAAAATAATGTTCACAAAACTTTCCTTAATTATGGAAACAATAGAGAACACAATCTTTACAAAGAGGAAAATTTAAAGAAATTTTAAATACAATACAAACATTTTAAAATAGCGTCCCAAATTATAAACATAAGAATAGCTATTGACAGATCTGAAACTAAGCAGTAAAAATAATATGCTAAACCCTTTATAAAGATTGCTTTTATTTCTTAATTTGAGACAACTATCATCCAACAGGGATAGATAGATGGTAGGCAGCTGTGTTCTACAGATCTCTTAAGAAATTCTGTAGCATTCATCTGTTGTAAAAGCAAAAAGTATCTTTTAAGAAAAAATAACACCCTTTCTTATAGCACAAACTTCAATGCTTGCATCTTTATATTGAGATTTTTGGTTTTAATCAGATTATCCCTCTAAAACCAAACTAAAAGAAGATTAATTTATAACTTTAGAATTTAAAAACTTGGAGCTTCCTGATTTCTAACACTAAAGAATTTCTTTCTTTTTATTTTCAGTTCACTAAAATATTTGGTTTATACACTGAATTCATATTGATTTGGATGGATTCTTTTTCCCTATCGGAATTTTTTAAAATTATTTTTAACTGCATTTTAAAATCATGCAGCAATGATTATCTGTCTAGAAAACCAGTCACTTAAATGAAAATGAAAAATGAAAATAAATACAATTAAAAATGAACAAATGAACTTCCATGCTGCACAGAATGCAACAGTATAGGTAGTTTGACTTATGATCATAATTGAGCTCTAAATTTCTGTTGCTAAACAAGACAGTTGTTAAGTGGGTTTTGCTTCATTTTATGAACTTTTTGCTACAGTTGTTACACGAATCACTGCAATTGTCAAGTGAATCATGCAGTCATTAAGTGAATTTGGCTTCTCCCATTGATTTTGGTTGTTGGAAGCTGGCCGAGAAGGTTGCAAAAGGTGATCACATGATCTCCAGACAGTGCAACTGTCATAAATAAATGCCAAGTGCCCTAATTTTTATCACATGACTGGGGGGAATACTACAATAGTTATAGATGTAAAAAACAGTCATAAGTCACCTTTTTGGGTGTTGTTATAATTTCAAACAGTCACTAAACAAATGGTTGTAATTTGAGGACTGCCTGTACCAATGAAGAGGAATGCAGGGAGAATAAACTTGTAGATGGAAGAGAAAGAGTTCTCAAATTTATAAGAATTAAAGTGAGGCAAACTTAAGACTTTGGAAATGTGCTACAAAGTTTAAAAGTCTGCACATTATAGACATCAGAGGGAAAAACAAACATTTAAAAAAATTATTCTGTGTAGGTTTTTGCTTTCCTACTTCAACATTCTTGTATTATAGGAACATTGACTGTCACTCTATTTGCCATGTTTAAGACAGATGATTCATACTGCATTTGAATTTGAACTAACAAAGAAAACAAAACAGTTCTTTCTTGAACTGTTCTTTCTTTAAAGTTTGTAATATACCTTTATAGCTCCAAGAACATCTATATTGAAATGTTATTTTGGTGTTTTTTTAAAAAAAAATAAAGTTACTGTGTTAGTAATTTTGCTCATCTTAATCAACTATATATAAAATATATGATTTATAAATTGTTACATTCAAATATGTCTATACATGATTATTGCCTTTCTTTTGTTTTATTTTATACCAAGCAAGCAAAAACAAATAACAAATAAATTACCACTTTACTAATACCCTTATTAGATTAAGTGATACATGGCCTCTACAAAATATAAGACTTTATATGTCAATTTAGGATATTCATCTATTAAAATTCTGTGGTTAACTTTTGTGTACAGCAAAAGATATAAGGGAGATGAGTGATTTAGAAATAGGAAATATAAATATCTTCAAAAATAATATTGCTGTGTAGTAATGATGCAAGGATAAATAATTTAAGTTCTTCTCATTACAAAAGAAAACCTGAATTGCTCCTTTGAACTTTACTAGTAAAATAGCATTTTTGCATCGATTAGATTATTTTAACTACCATACTATAATTTTAGATGTGACTAACACTTCTGTCCCAGTTTATACTTTTCAGCAAAATAGCCTGAAATAACTATCATTAAAGGTAAGGTTTTAGTTATAATGAATGTTGTCTATCTATTCCAAGACCATTATTAAAGCAGTATTTATTTACTTCTTTTAACTTTACTTCTTAATATGTTCTCATTTTTCATTTGGAAAAACTGACATTTTAAAATACTCATAATTTTAAACCTTATATAACTATGAGTGTTTTACTTTTTATACTTCAAAATGCCAATACACATGATATAGTCATGGCAGGTAAAAAGTAATATAAATAACAGTACAGTAATGGATGATGACTTAAGCATTAATGGTCTGCCTATACAGATACATATATGTGACTCTTTAACTTAAAGAAAAATATGTCACTTTCAAAGTTAGAATTATCATGAGGTCATTATCTTCAAAGAAGGATTTACCGTATTTTTTTAAGTATAAGACACACCAAGGTTTTGAAGAGGCAAATTTTTTAAAAAAGTAGATCGGTAGATAGAGGGATAGAGAGGAAGAAAACAGAGAGAAATACAGTAGGTAGGTAGGGAGAGCAAGAGAGTAGTTAGGTAGGTAGGTAGGTAGGTAGATAAAGGGAGAGAGAGGGGGGGAGGGAAGGAGGGGGAGAGAGAGAGAGAGGAGGGTAGGTAGGTAGAGGGATAGAGAGAGAGAAATAGAAAGAGAGAAAAATACAGTAGATAGGTATGGAGAGAGAGAGTAGGTAGGTAGAGAAAGGGGGAGAGAGAGAGAAAGAGAGAAATACAGTAGGTAAGTAGGGAGAGAGAGTGTGTATATAGGTAGGTAGAGGGATAGAAAAATAGAGAGAGAGAAATACAGTAGATAGGGAGGGAGGGAGAGAGAGAGTAGTTAGTTAGGTATGTATGTAGGTAGAGAAAGGGAGGGAGGGAGGGAGAGAGAGAAATAGAGAGAGAAATACAGTATGTACGTAGGGAGTGTGTGTAGGTAGGTAAAGGGGTAGAGAGAAATACAGTAGATAGGTAGGGAGAGAGTAGGTAGGTAGATAAAGGGATAGAGAGAGAGAAATAGAGAGAGGGGATAGGTAGGTAGGTAGAGGGATAGAGAGAGAGAGAGAAATACAGTAGATAGGGAGAGAGAGAGAATAGTTAGGTAGGTAGGTAGGTAGGTAAAGGGAGAGAGAGAGAGAGAAATAGAGATAGAAATACAGTAGATAGGTAGGTGTTTCTGCTGGCACAGCACTTGATCAATGTAATTCTCATCAATCAAAGAGCTTTCCAAAAGGGGGAAAAAGTTTTTGCAAACCTCCCAAAAACAGCCTGTTTTTCACGAAAACGGGCCCGTTTCTCCCCCTCAAAAAAGGCATGAATTGGGGGGGCTTGGAGAGTGCTCCTGGGGGAGCCAAAAATGAGCAANCGCCCCCACAATCTGGGTCCTCATTTTACCCACCTCAGAAGGATGGAAGGCTGAGTCAACCTTGAGCCGGTGAGATTTGAACCGCTGAACTGTAGATAGCAGTCAGCTAAAGTGGCCTGCAGTACTGCACTCTACCCACTGCGCCACCTCGGCTCATGAGTCTTACAAAGAGACATTGAAATAACTGGGTAGGTTTAGCCTTGAGAAAAGATGACTGTTAGCACTCCTCAGAAATGAAAATATGCCAGAAAAAAGGTTAAACCTGGGAGGTAGAGCTGACATCACGACGATACGACATGCGATCTTGGAGCTCCAAGATCGCCGTTGATATCTTTGCCGCTGGACAGTCCTTTTGGACGTAAACCGTCCGTGATAGAGAAGGGCACATCCTACTGATCTCAGGGTCATCGCAAAGTCCCTGATGGATCCAGCATAAGCTCTTTTTTTCCTACGACAGAGACGCAGCCATTGAAGCAGCTGAAGTTGGGACAACTCCAGAACGTAAGGAAAGCAGAAGAGAAAGTGTGTCGAATTGGTGAGGAAAACTTAATTATTAGAGAAGAGATCACTCAAAAAACCCAAAAGTTAAATTAAAATTGAAGACAGAAGATAGCAAGTGGTGAGATTAAGCCACAATTAAACTTAGTGTGTTATATTTTTTTTAATTTTTCCTTTTTACGGATGAAATTTTTACAAATGTTTCCTACTTTTTAAATTGGATTGGTTAATTTTTCTTCTACTTTTTATTCTTTTTTTCATACTTATAGATTAAAATTTTCTTTTTTTTATGCTTGATTGGATTGTTTTTCTTTTAAGAACTTTTCTCCCTAAGTTTGGAACACAAAGAGGGATGTAAAAGCAGAGGAAAAAGAAGTAACACTGCCACTTAGAGGCTGGAGGCATGGAAACATTGTTTTTCTCTTTTCCCTTTGAACATTTGACTTATATCTCAAGACTTCTCAGTTTGTTTATTGAAAGTGATAGTGGGAAGAGCACAGGTTGTTTATACAGGCGCTCTTCTGGAGTCCTATCATTAGCTGGACTGGAGTGAAGAGAAAGCCTTGACTTGAAAGATTATAATGAATTTGCTTGAAATTTAACCAAAAGCCTTGGATGTTATAGTGGCAGTATAGTGGCAGTAAGTTGGAAGAATGGTGCAACATGAAAAAGAAACATTAACATTGCAAATGATTATGCT